CTGGGGATGAGCCTGGTGGCTGCCCCTGGAGTAGCTGCTTGCCTTGCCTGGAGAGGAAGACCCTGGGTGAGGAAGGCTCAGCCCACCTGTGTTATCTGACCCTGGGAAGGGTGGGATTGTATTAGCAGGAATGCCCCAACAAAGGCAGGAATGATGAATCTGACTCCCTGTTCTCAGAAGGCCAATTTATTATTATATTATATTATATTATATTATATTATATTATATTATATTATATTATATTATATTATATTATATTGCATTACACTATACTATACTATACTATACTATACTATACTATACTATACTATACTATACTATACTATACTATACTACAGAATACAGAAAGGATACTTACTGAATGCTAAAAAGATAATAATGAAAACTGGTGACTCTCTCCAGAGTCCTGACACAGCTTGGCCCTGATTGGCCAAAGAGTGAAAACAACTCCCAGCAGAATGCAATGGAACAATCACCTGTGGGTGAACAATCTCCAAACACATTGCACATGTGAGCACAGCACGGGAGAAGCAAATGAGATAAGAATTGTTTTCCTTTTCTTTGAGGCTTCTCAGCTTCCCAGGAGAAAAATCCTGGGTGAAGGGATTTTCCAGAGAATGTGAATGCCACAGGGTGGAAGTCATGGAATCATGGAATGAGTTGGGTTGGGAAGAGACTTAAAGGCATCCCATTCCAACCCCCTGCCACAGGCAGAGACACCTTCCACCATCCCAGGGTGCTCCAAGCCCTGTCCAACCTGGCCTTGGACACTTCCAGGGATCCAGGGGCAGCCACAGCTGCTCTGGGCACCCTATGCCAGTGTTTAACACCCTCATCATAAAAAGTTTCTTGTGTACATCTGCTCTGAATCATCTCTTTTAGTTTAAAACCATCACCCTGTGTCCTGGCACAACAGGCCCTGCTATAAAGCCTGTTTCCACCTTCCTCCTAATCTTCTTTAGGCACTGGAAGGGGCTCTCAGGTCTCCCTGGTCCCTTCTCTTTTCCAGATGAGCACCCCGAGCCTGGGGGTGCTTTTTACATTAGAATTTTGGTGAATAGTGCATTTGAAGCTGGGCTTGGCACATTTGAAGCATTATCTGTGTTAGCAGAGCACCCCAGTCCCCAGCTGGGCTGTTCCTCAGGGCATTTGTCACTCCTGAAATTCCCCTTCTCCCCACAACAGGGAACATGGACCATGTGCTGTTTGTCTGCCTGTTTTTCTCTCCTTCTCTGGATTAGCTGTAGCATTTATGGGCCTGATATGCATATTCATTAAAAGAATTGAAATATTGTGGGGAAAAAAGGAGCTGTCTTTGAGTTAGCACAGCCTTTGGGAATCTGCTAAGTAAGATGCACTTAATTACTTCAGCTATGACTGCATCACATTGCACTCCGGGTTTCCTCTGAGATGCAAAACGTGAAAGATGTTTGCAGCACAGGCTGCAAACCCATCCTGGGCCTTTTGCAGCACCTCGTGGTGAGCTTGCAGTGCTGAATTCCTGGGATGGAGAGGGGACCTGACCTGCCTCTCCCAGCCTCTGCTCCTGGAGAAGGAGCTGATCACATTTCTAGGGATTTTTAATTCCACTGTGTTTCCATTGGGTTCTGTGGGGCAGGGAAAGGCATGGGACAGCCCCACTGAGCCCAGGGCTGGGACTGCACCCCACAGGAGCAGGCTGTTTTCTTTCACACAGCATTTATTACCTCCTTTCACTTTGGTTTGCCGTGATCACAGTTTCATTCATCATTTCCTTGCCTAATTAGGCAGTTTGCTGCAGGGAATCATCTCAAAATCCTGCTCCTGGAGATCTCTCTTTCCTTGGGTCTTTTTGGGGGGGGATCACCTGCTTTGGGTGCCCCTGAAATAGCTCAGTGTCAGTAGGATCCCGCAGTGGGAAGCAGGAATAACCCTTTCCCTACCTTTGATGCTATTTAAGAAGCTCCGGTGCTGCACACAAACAACTCACCTTCATTTTCACTCCAAATATTTTACAGCTGGAAAACTCAAGTGGCTTTTCCACCACTCCTGGGGACCCCAGGAGCCATCACCAGGAGTGATGGAGAGGTGGCAGCCTGGCATGCTGCTTCCAAAATTGCATTTAAAAAAATAAATAAATAAAGGGAAATGGAGAGAAATGCAGTGAGTGCCAAATGGTGGGGGCAGCTCCTGGTCAGCAGGGTGCATGTGAGGAGCTGTGCATGTCCTGCAGAACCTCCTGGACTGGGGGAGAAGAGATGGAGCTGTGGGAAAGGGAGAGAAGGACCAACAATATTCAACTAAAAGCACTTTTTTATCATACAATTGTAGAATGCTTTGGGTTGAGAGGGACCTTTAAGCCCATCCAGTGCCACCCCTGCCATGGCAGGGACACCTTCCACTGTCCCAGAGTGCTCCCAGCCCATCCAGCCTGGCCTTGGGCACTGCCAGGGATCCAGGGGCAGCCACAGCTGCTCTGGAAAATCTGTGCCAGTGTTTTAGATTCTCCATTGTAAAAAACTCCTACATTATACCTAGCCTAAACCAGCCCTCTTTTAGTCTAAAACCATTGTCCCTTGTCCTGTCTCCTGAATAAAGGTCTGTCCCCATTCTTCTTATGGGGTCCCTTTCATGATGTAAAAAAGTTGGGGGGAGGCATTTAGGCTAAGATATCCTTGGAGAAGAATGTGCCAGGAAAAATGCTGTCTCTGCTACTTAAAAGGGTTCTGTGATGGAGCTGTTATGAGCATGGGGCTTCATGGGGCTCTCTGAGCCAGGCTCAGGTTCCTGGTTTTTTCCTACAAATTTTCAGAGTCATTTACAGCATGTGGCCCATATCCATAATTGCACTCCTGGACTTGTTCTGCTCTGATGCATAAATAACATGCACTGTAAAGAAAAGTGTGTGATTACATATTTAATGGATAAACAGAGCTGTTGTGGTCCATTGGCCACATAATAAAAGTTTCAAAAAAATTGTCTTAATACAGTATTTCCTCAGGAGACTACTGTGGCTGAAACGTGAGCAAGCTGTTTTAAATTCTAGAATTTTTTAAGCCACATCTCATAGCCTGCCCCATTTCTCCAACACCCGTCTTCTAAACTTTCTCTTCATTTAAATTTAAAATAAGGACAATAAATTATTCTTTTTCCTTAGCAGCTGGCAGATCTTCTCCAACATGAAAGGTCTGGATTAAACTGACAAAACCCAAGACAAATGTACATTTTTTTGGCTGGGGTTTGGGAATGGCTGGCTGCTCAGCAGATGGGAGCTGTGTCCCCACTTTGCACAGTCCCTGTCTCACCCAGACTATTCCCATGAATTCTGCAAATTCAGTTTAAATGCAAAATTCACATCTCTGGTGCCTCCTGTGCTGGCCAAGCCTGGTGTCTGTGTCTGTGGGTGCATCATCCTTGATGTCTTTATGACCAGGACAGCCAGAGTTCTGCAGTAAGACACATATTCAGGTTTCAAGGGCACATTAGAAGGTTTTAAGGGCACACAAAATTTGCCATAGTTAATCTCTATGCCCCTAACCAAAGCATAATTAAGCTCTGTGCCCCTTTGCCTCTAAGCAAAGACAGCCCTGCTGCCTCCTTGACACCACCAAAGCCAAGGGCAGCAATTCAGTGCAGCCCCTAAGTCAGCTCAGTCAGACTCTGCTGTTGAAATGCAGGAATTTATTTAATTCCTGTGAGTTCAATCCCTTCACAATTAATCCAGGAAAAAGGCAGATCCAGGGAAAGCCGTTCTGCTGACACTGCTGGAGAGTCCAAAGGGGAGCAGAACATTCTGTCTGTGTAAAAGTGTGGTGCAAAGCTCTTGATTCCTGACCTGCAGCAGTAAATCTGGGTTTGTGTTTATGTCCTCTGAAGCCTTTGGAGGCCTCACAGATCTTCCCTGGGTTTCCTTCTGTGTGTGCTGCTTATGGAGCTGGCAAAGCTCCCCTGGTAACGAGGGATTGCACCTCAGTGGGCTGATCAGGAGCTCAGGCCTTTAAACTTGTGTTAGCATTAATCAGATTAATGTAAAAGGGAAAAGGCCTGGCAAGTATTTCAGGCAGGGTTTGCCTCCCTCCCACTCCATGGCTGGATGAGGCTGTGCAGGAACCAGGCTCTACTGGATCAGCAAGGATGGATCCTGGGGGAAAATGGGGTTTTGGGGAAAATTATTCAAACTGGGAATGGGGTCTTGATGCAGAAAACAGCAGGGTTTGTAATCTCATCTATCTCATCTCATCTCATCTCATCTCATCTCATCTCATCTCATCTCATCTCATCTGCTGCTTGGTGTAGAGGGGCTGGACATGCTGGAATGAGTTCAGAGGAGCCACAGAGGTGCTCCAAGGGCTGGAGCCCCTCTACTCTGGAGCCAGGCTGGGAGAGCTGGGGGTGCTCACCTGGGGAAGAGAAGGCTCTGGGGAAACATTAGATCCCCTTCCAGTGCCTAAAGGGGCTCCAGGAGAGCTGGAGAGGGACTGGGGACAAAGGATGGAGGGACAGGACACAGGGGGAATGATTTTAATGTATAGGAGGGTGGGTTTAGATGGGATATTAGGAAGAAATTCTTCTCTGTGAAGGTGGGGAAGCCCTGGCACAGGGTGCCCAGAGAAGCTGTGGCAGCCCCTGGATCCCTGGAAGTGTCCAAGGCCAGGTTGGATGAGGCTTGGAGGAGCTTCACTTCTCCTGGTGAATTTGCCATAAATTGCTAGTTTATGAGTGTTTTTTCAGACCCCTGATAGGTGCCAGCCACCAGCAGTGCCTGAGGCAGTCAGGGGCACCTTCTGGGCACACAGCCCCACACACAAAGCTGATTTGGCACCTCTCTGTCAGGCTCATGGCCACAGCAATGGGTGCACAGTGCTCAGCCCTCGCCTCGTTTGGAAGCGAGCTCAGGGAAGGCTTTCCCAGCCATGTAGAGCAATTTAAACAATAAATCAGCCTTAAAGTGATTTGGCAGTATGGCAAATAAATGAATGAATGGATTTTGTAGTGACAATGATCTCCTCCTCCTCCCTCAGATCCAGGAGATGGTGCACTCGGACGCCGCGTCCTACGAGTCCAACCGCCAAGTGCCGCTGCTCAACCGGCCCGGCATGCTGGGCGGCCCCATGGGCGCCCTCAGCCAGTCCCAGCTCATCTCCCAGATGGGAATCCGGAGCGGGGTCACCCACGGCTCCCCCTCGCCCCCGGGAAGCAAATCTGCCACCCCATCTCCCTCCAGCTCCACTCAGGAAGAGGAGACCGAGTCGCATTACAAGGTACGCGCGGTTGCGCCGCGTTTGGCGCTTTTCGGGGAGGGATAAATTGTGCTTAATAAAACTACAGGCTTCTGGTCTTGTGTGCAAGCCCAGGGCACAGGGAATATTTCTCTGTCTGCTCTGAGGTGTCCTGATCCCCAGGGGAACACTGACTTTGACCCTCATTCATGGAGAAAGTTTCCTAAACTCCAGAATAGACTGGAATCCACTAGGGTCTGGATTCTAGTCTGTAGAGAGTATGTAGAGAGTATATAGGTGTATAGAGAATAGCGTAGGTATATCACTTGATGAGAAATTGAGGTTTTGGGATTTTTAGTGTGTTGTGGATGGAAGCAAGATGGAGGGCACAGGGTGTCATCCTGGGTTTCTTCTTCATGCTTCTTCTTCCTCCTTCCTCATGGGTTGGGTGGCATTTTGTAATTGGGCAGAAAAGTCCCCATTGCAGCTCTTTGGGATCAGTTATTGGGTTAAAAGGGAAAATAGTCCATGTGTCAGCTCTTAATTGGATAGTTTAGCTTTAAAAGCCCTTGTAACAAGAGATTGTTGGACATTTTGTGCCTTCTAATGAAAAGCTGCCCAATTCACAGTAGTGAGACTGTTTCACTGATGAGAAATAATAAACACCTAAGTCCCAACATGAATTACTGCCTCAAGTGCCTTCAATCCAGACCCAGAGAAACCCACAACTGGTACCCCCACAGTCTTGTTTTGACATTTATAGTGGGAGCCTTTCCCAAGGATGAGGGCACAGTTCCCAGCCTAGGGTGAGTCCACATGGCAGGCTGGCACTCACCCAGCAGGTTTGGAGATCAGAGCTGTTCTTCTGCCCCCATGTTTTACCAGTTCCATCAGGTCACAGGATTTCCTGGGATGATGATTAGGATGAGCAAGGCAGCTTCAGGGCTAGGAGTCTGCAGATGCTTAGAGCTAAATTAGATTTCTGGTGGTGAGTACAGGAGACTGAAACAGGGAAGGAAAATAACTCATGGTGGGATTTAACTGAGCTCTTTGGACATGGCTTGCTAAGGAGAACAAACAGGAATTCAAAGAAACTTCTGCCTTTTAATTCACCAAGGTGGTGTTTTCAGTGGTCAGCAGTGTCCCAAATGGTCTCTACAGCCAACACAACTGCTGCTGAGTGTGGCACCAACAAACCCAAGGAATTCCTGGGCATTTGGGCACATCTTGGTTGTTGTCCATCTCTCTCCAAATGCATCAGCAAAGCCACACAACATGTGCCACGTTCCAGGAATCTGTGGCTGTTATTTACTGAGGGCAAACTGCAGCAATCACAGTGCCTCTGTGCCTGCAGGTGAATTACTGGACTCCCTGGGGACTTTGATTAAAGCCTTCCATGGAAAACCTTCTCCTGAAGGCACTGGTGCTATAACCTTGTCCCACCCAAATAGATGTTGTGACAGGGTTTGAATGTATAACCAGAGCAGCAAACAGTGCATGGGCTGGAAAACTAGGAAAATTACAGGACTGAGCAAAAACCTTTCCCTATTCATGGAAATCCAGGAAAATGGATTCCCATCAATCCTGTATTTTTTCATCCATTGGCAGATTTCACTTCAGATTGGGGCATTTCAAAGCTGAGTGCTCATGTGGGTGTAAACACAGCTTCAGTGGATAAAATTGTAAAAAGAAGGGATACATGAGGTTAAAAACAAATGGAATTTTTGAAACGCTGCGATTCCATGTTGAGGGAACATTGTGGGAAGGGTTGTGCTGCTGGATCCCACAGCCTGCCATCTCCCAAAGCTGCATCACAAAGCTCCGGGCTTTGTGCACCTGGGAGCTGAAATCTTCCATGTCAGGAGAAAATGAGTTCCAGTGTAGTGACACACCAGCTTCTGTGTCTGTGCCTCCACCAGCATCACCCAGCTTCCCTGTCAGCCACCCAGGAGTCCCTGAGCAGGGCACAGCTTTGGGGCTGGATCTTCTGCTTCCCTGAGCCAGGGGTGCCCATGGGGTGGGAAATCTGGAGATGTCCAGATGATAACAGCTTGCAGAGATTAGAATTTTCCTAATCCTTAAGGCAATCCCTCTCATTGTTCTGTCCTGTAACCCCCCAGGCTGGTGGGAGTGATGTTTGAGGGAGGAGGAGATGCTGAGTGTGAGGAAAGCAGCGGACCCCCACTGTGGCCTGCAGGTTTCTTTTTGCTTTCTTTGTCTGCACAGCTGCTGCCTTCACCCATCAGTCACTTTTTCATGTGACCATTAAGGGCTTTTCTGCATCAAAACAACATCTAACAAGCAGAAAATAATCCTGTGAGCTAGAAGGTCACAGGTTAGAGAAATGAGTCCTTCAGGTCCTCTGAGCCAGGGAGCATTTGAATTTCAGAGGTCTCTGAGCCTCACTGGTGTATTCACCTGCTTCATAGCTGGGGGGTGGGTGCACATGACTGGGAGGGACAGGTGGGTACAGCCCAAAATCCAGCTGGGTTAGTGGCCACTCTCCATAGTTATTAAAATCACAGTGTCCATGAGGTTCCAGCTCTTTCTGGGTTCAACATCTAAGAAGGCACCAAGTTTTGGGATGACATCCTTGCCCCAGTCCACATCTGCCACCAAACAGAGCTGCTGCTGCCTCTCCAGGGCAGGTCCACTGCCAGTGGCCACCATGGGCAGGTGGCCAAGCTCTTCCTCCCCCTGCCCAGCCTCCCTGGTCCCCTTGACCATGGGGATGACCCTTGGGGCTGCAGATGCTCTGGGCAGCGAGGCACTGGCTCTCTGAGGGTTGACTTCAGCCATGAACATGGTTTGCTAAATAAAAACACAAACTTCTGGTCTTGTGTGGAAACCCAGGGCGCTGGGAACAGTTCTCTGTCTGCTCTGGGGTGTCCTGACCCCCAGGGCAGCACTGACTTTGACCCTCATTCATGGAGAAAGTTTCCTGCACTGGCTCAGCCATGAACATGGTTTGGGTTGGTCAGAACTCCTCTGAGGTCCCAGCCCAGGCTGTTGTCTCATCCTATGGGTGTCACACCTAGAAAACCCCATGAATACCAAATCCTGCTTTGCTTCCTGCTGCTGTTTTCCTTAAATCCCATGTGCTCTTTTGTGACCTTGGTCACAGGGGTTTTCAGGAGAAGGAAGAGACAAGAATGTTGACTCCATGTTCAGAAGGCTTGATTTATTATTTTATGATATATATATATATATATTACATTATAACTATACTAAAAAGAAATAGAAGGAAAGATTTCCTCAGAAGCTAGCTAAGCTAAGAATAGAAAATAAGAGAATGATAACAAAAGCAGCTCTCTCAGATTGGCCATTAATTATAAACATTCAAGATGGCCCAATCAAAAATCCACCTGTTGCATTCCACAGCAGCAGATAACCATTGTTTACATTCTTTTTCTGCGGCCTCAGCTTCCCAGAAGGGAAAACCCTAAAGAAAGGATTTTTAGTGAAAAAGGTGTCTGCGACACTCTTTGGTGCTGCCTGAGCTGTAGATGCAGCTGGGGTTGTGTTGTCCCAGCTCCTTGGCTTGGCCAGTGGCTGTGTGGGAGCAGGTTCTCCACAGCACTCCACTGAGTCAAAGGGGATCACAGTTAGTTAAAATACCATCTCACTTCCTAATGGGCTGAAACCCTGTCATGCATTTTTTTTTTCCTCCTAATAAGCTGGCCTTTCACCTCCAGGCCTCCCATTCAAGCCCAATTGGGCAATTTTAAATTAAAAGCAATTTTTGTGGTCTCTCTGCTCATTCACTAATGGTCACTGTCTGTTTGACAAATGTCACTGCGCTGATACTGAAATTAATGATCAGTCAAGAGCTACAGAGTGGAGAGCAGGAACGCTGCTGCCCTTTTCCTCCCCATGCCTGGCCTTTGCCAGCTGAAGGGAAGCCTCTTAAATCCTGGCACCGCCAAGCACATGCTCAAATTGACCAATGGCACATGCTCAAATTGACCAATCCATCAGGAGAAGGGGCTGTTTGTCCCCAGCTCAGCTGGAATCACTGTTTTCACAAGATCTTGATGTTTAGAGCTGTGTCTTTCCACGTTATTCAACAACCTGTGCAGCTGATGGTGGTGCCTTGAGCTCAGGGCTGCAGGGCTGGTGTGCTCTTTGCCCTCAAGGAGCAGAGATCCAGCCAGTGCTTACATTCTCTGCTATCTGGTGTATTTAGGTTTTCCTTCGCTATGAAATAAGGGTAATGGTGCTTCCCTGTAGTGAGAGCTTCCACTGGCCACAGTTAATGCATTGAGAGCTTTGATGGGCAACCAAGTGTTTTCCACGGGTATTATATTATATTATATTATATTATATTATATTATATTATATTATATTATATTATATTATATTATATTATATTATATTATATTATATTGCTATACTAAAACTATACCAAAGAAAAAGGATTCATCAGAAGGCTTCACAAGAATGATAAAAAACCCACGACTGACTCAGAGTCCAACACACCTGGCTATGATTGACCATTAATTAAAAACAATTTACATGGAACCAATTAAACATTCACCTGTTGGTAAACAATGTCCAAGCCACATTCCAAAGCAGCAAACACAGGAGCAGCAATCAGATAATTATTGTTTTCATTCCTCTCTGAGGCTTCTCAGCTTCCCAGGAGAAAATCCTGGGCAAAGAGGATTTTTCAGAAAATATCACAGTGACACCCAGATCAGTCAGAGGAGTGAGCAGCACAGGCAAAGCATTCAATTGGTGTGATCAAAATAGTTCAATTTTGGATGTTTTTCTGGATAGGGTACATATATGTTAGCAGAATGGGGCAAATTTTGGCTGGCCCTGGTGTGATGTTTAATGTGATCCTGGTGCTCCTTGGTCAGTGCTCAGAGCCCTCCTGGAATGGGGAGGGGAGGGAAGTGAGGAGCAGATGCAGAGGGGGCTCAGTGGGGTGGAAATCAGAAACCATGTGGAAGCCAAGTCTGGAAAATCCATGGATTGCTAAAGCAACCTAGCTGGGAAAGCAAGGCAGGTGGAGAGGTTCCAGAAGAGGATCAAGGAGTGAGTGAGCTGGGGAGGAGGATGGGGAAGGAGAGTGACTGAGGACTGGAAAGCCCCAGATCTGGAGCAGGGATGTCACAATAGGACACAAAATGAACGATATGCACATGCTGAAGTGTCCAAGGTAAAAAGAGCATAGTTTATTTCCAAACTCCAATATTTATAGATTTTCAAAAGTGAGCATGGATTGGAGGATGAAATTGCCACCTCTCCAGCCACACTGGTAAAACCAACAGTCCATCAATTCTCTCCTCCTCCAGAAAGGAATGCAAAACAATCATTATTTACATGAAAAGCGTGTGAGAAACTCCACTACAAAAATGTAACATCAGAAGGCTTAGAAGCACTTTAGAAGAACAGGGTGACACAGGGACAAAGGGATGAACCCAAGCTATGAGCTGCTCTGAGAGGAGACACCAAAGCAGCCTCAGGCACCCACCTGCAGTTTGTGCAATGGTCCAAGAGGCTCCTGAGGGACAGAGACCCTCCAGAGCTGCTGCCCCTCTCCACACTGGGATATCTCCACTTCCCATTCCCTCTCTCATCTCCTTGGCTCAGCAGCTGTAGCAGGGTCTGGTATCAGACCTTAGCTAAGCTTCATCTCTTGCTTTTGCAGGCTACTGGAGAGAAGAGACCCTCGACAGACCTGGGCAAAAAGCCCAAAAGCCAAAAGAAGAAGAAGAAGAAGGACCCCAATGAGCCCCAGAAGCCTGTGTCAGCCTATGCCCTGTTTTTCAGAGACACACAAGCAGCCATCAAAGGGCAAAACCCCAATGCCACCTTTGGGGACGTGTCGAAAATCGTGGCATCCATGTGGGACAGCCTGGGAGAAGAACAAAAGCAAGTGAGTTACTGAGTTATTTATTTTTGTCTTTCAGCTGTTGAAATGTGTATTTCCACTGTGCAGGAATGTTCAGGACATGGCCAGGGGCTTCCACAGGCTGAAGTGCAGCTAAAAAGCTGTTTTTAGGAGCAGTGCTGCAGTGCCCACTGTGCAAAATTGCTGTTGTTGCATGGCGAAAAGCAAATTTTTATGACAACTAATTATTCTTGATAAGTTCACACTCTGCACAGCCATCAGTGGCCTTTCCCTGACGTGGGGTTTTCCATCTTGAGATGGGAGATGGGTTTGTGTTTGCTTATTTACTTACAAGGAGTGACAGCCAACAGGCTAAACACCATTAACTCCCTGTGCTGCTGGCTCCAAACCCAGCGGTCAGGCTTTAAAAGCTTCACAAGGAAATGTCTGAAGTGGCCTCACAGAGGAAACCTTGCTGCCCCAAAGCTGTCAGCCACTTTGTCTGCTTCACGTGGAGAATTCCAGCTCCTGCTTTCCCTCCTTGGCTGCTGCTGAGTCAGTCACAAAAGCCCGTAATTGCTCATTTCCTATGGAGAGAACCCCAGGGAGCACTTCCCAGAGCAAGGAGGGCTGTTTGTCAGGCAGAGTGAGACCTGACACGGTGTGGGATGTGTCCTGCACCCACACAGGCTTTAGCTGGGAGCACTTCTGGCCACAGCTCCAGCTGGGTGTCCATGGCCAGCACTGGGAGCAGCTCCATCTGGGGAGAGAGCAGCAGAGAGGGAAAGAAAAAGCCATTTAACTGGAAGTTCTGCTGGGATAGAACCTTGATTTCTACCCCACAGGGATCTCCAGGGATGAAAGCTCTTTTGCAGCTCCATTTTCTCCTCTTTGGGGGGATCACTGTAGGATCATGTAGGAAGAAATTTCTCATCTGAAGAGGGGAGGAAGGTCAGGAGAGTGACCCCAGCAGGATAGGGGCTTGGTTTTTGCTGTTGCCTCAGGGTATGGGAGGTTCAGGAGTGTGGAAAAGCTTTGTGTCACCTCTTTCTCCTGCCTGCATCCCCCCAGCATCTCAGCCTGTCCCTCCTTTACTCCACCAAATATCACCACAGCTCAGGGAGTGTGAGCACTGCTGCCACCCTGACTCAGCGCAGTGCAAACGCTCAGCTCTTAATTACCAGCAGGGATTAAACCAGCCCGTTTATCTTCCCTGCTAACTCTCCCTCCCTCCTCCCTCTCTTCCATGAGCTCGCAGCAGCCTCCCCGTCTCTTTACACACGCTTTCTAAGTGGCTCCATTTCTCCCGCTGTAATTGATTTAATTAAGTCATTTGTTCCTTGTCTGAATGCTTAAATATTAACTTCCTGCCTTTGTCTCCAGCTGGATACTTCTCTCCCACAGCAGTTACCTCCCTGCCCGGGATCTGGCTGCAGGGACACGATTTCTCCTTGGCTCTGGCAGCCTGGTGTGGTTTGTGTGATGTGGCACGTTCACTCTGCAAGTGCCTGGCTGCAGGAGAGTTTATTTAGCCCCTGTTTGCTTTCCTCTGCCAACACCCCTGAAGGTTTTTTTGGATTTGTGAGGCAACGCAATGGAAAGGGGAAAAAGGAAAAGAAAATTTTGAAATGCCTGTAATGAGTGAAAACAAGCTGTCGTGTAGGTGTTTCCTGCAGGATGTGGTGCACACATTCCCTTCCCGGGGCTCTCCTGGCACATCTGGAGAGGGGATGGTGTCCAAGCAGCACAGGCCAAAATCCTGCTGCAGCCTGGTGGTCCAGCTTGCCACATGGCTGCACCAGCCCATCGGCAGGGCTGTGCTCTGGGAAGGGGTGGAAAAGCTGGAGAAGGGAAGTGTTTCATCAAGGACACTGCTTTTAGCTTTGTGGACAGCAGTGGCTTCATGTCCTCGCTGCAGAAAGCAACCTGGGGAACAGCCAACACAGAGGTTGTCAGGATCTTTAGCTTGTCAGAGTGACCCCGAGAAAAGTTGGAAAGTCTCTTTTCCCAGCCTGGCACTTGAAGGAGTCAGGGCTCTTCATTTCTCAGTCTCAAGGTTGTTTATTGTATCTTATCTATAAAATATTTTCTCCTGTCCAGCTGAAGTCCATTCAGCAAGACAGTCCAGTCCAACCCTGCCCCCGGGGCAGTGTTATGTCTTTATACTAAAAACTACCTGTACAATGTTTACAATTACTTTCCAATACCTATCACCTATGTTAGACAGTGAGCTTCTACTCTAAACCAATCTGTCAGTGCCAACATCACAGCAGAAGATGGAGGCCAAGAAGAAGAAGGAGAAAGGCTCTACCTGCCCAGATTCCTCCATCTTGCCCCCCTGAACCCCCATTCTAAAAACCCCAAAATCTACTTTTGCACCTTGTGATAAATTCACTATCATTCTACTTAATTTGTCATGGCTTGCAGATCTTCATATAAGGTTGGTAATTTGCTCCACGGGTCATAATCAAAACCACAGGGGCATCTTGGGCTCTGTGCCAGAGTCTCTGAGCCCCCTGGCAGGGGTCTTGGCTGCTCAGGACAGCCAGAGGGATGTCCTGGGTCCTGACAATAGGTGGCACAGCAGGCAAACAAAAGCCAAATCTGGGTATTTTGGCTAAATTATGACCAAAGTTTTAGAGAACAGTTCCCCTCTTCCTGGCTTGAGAAGGGGTGGATGTGAGGCTGTAGGATCTGCTCTGGAGCTGGTCCCTCACTTGGATCCCAGAGGGGCAGAGCCCAGCCCCAAGGTGTCACTGAGCAGTTCTTTACACCCCTGGAGTTTCTCTTCAGAGAAGGTTTACAAACCTTACCCCGTGCCCTCCAGTGGGCCCCAGTGCTGGGGGTGTTTTGGTTCCACCTTGTGGGAAGCAGCAGGGAGGGGTTCCAGGGGAGCTGCTCCACAAACCCAGGGCATTTTATGATTCCCCCACGTGTGAGCAGCCCCTGGCACATTCCTGCTGTGCCTGCCCTGTGTCCATCCATGCCCAGCTCCATCCTGCACACAGATCTGGGCTGCACAGAGCTGTGCCAGGGCCAAAGGGCTGAGGAAAGCCCAGTGCTGGTGGCTTGTAGCCATGCCAGACAGGGAAGGGTGGTCCTGTGCCCCCTCCACAGACACCTCCTGGAGCTTTTCTGCTGGCAGCAGGGACGTGCCAGCCCATTGCCAGGTAGTCCTGGCCAGCACACAGGGGGTTAATCCTCTGCCATTTGTGCTGCTAATGATTATATGCACTGTAATATCAAAGCTGGAGCTATTTATTTGCCATTGAGCAGGTGCTGCTGCTCCCACAAAGCAAATTTGCTTTCTCCTCCTGATGAAACAAGGAAAATAAAGGTTGCTCACGTCCCATTTCAGATATGGGTTTTTTTTTTCCCTGTGCACCAGCTGAAAGACAAACACAGAAAGGGAAGCAGAATGCATATTATGCAAGAAACCATATAATCTAGCAGCATCTTTGATTTGGCTGCTGCTGTCACAGACATGCATTTCACAGAGAGGCTTTTTTCTCCCCCCTTTCTTTTGTTCTTACTGGTTTATCATTTGTGGCTTTGTCATTTTGTTCCTTCTTCTTCTTCTCTTCTCAGCCTCTTCACAATGAATCTTCATTTTCCCTCTGACACACTTGTATCTAAATTTCCTTATTTCCTGCCTTTTTTTATTTATATCTGTTGCCTGGTGATTTGATCATGCTGTGGAATACAGGATTAGCAATCTCCGTGTCCTTGGGTACTGCTCAAGGACACCTGTTCGGCAAAGCACCATTTTCTTCCCCATTTTAACCCCTTCCAGCATGGCTGTGGAACAGGAATAAATAACAATACCTTAAATATCCCCAGCGCTGCGTTGGCAGGACGTTGTAATCTTCATTCTTCAACAGCTGCCGTGGCCCTTCCTAAGGAGCTTACACGGGAATCTGAAGAATGTGACTTGAGGAAAAAAAAAGAAAAATTAATACATCCTCTTTGAACTTTGCAAATAGTTTAGCAGCTGTTCCTGTAGAGATAGCTCCGACTTTGCTGCAGAGTGAAATGCTAATTCAGCCATTAGCATCCAATGGGGTACCTGGCACGGGAATCCTCCAGGTCCCAGCTCCAGCATCCCGTGCCTCGGTGGGAGTTTTTCCATTAGCAGATCTCAAGCAGAGTTCCCCAGCATGGTTTAAAAGGGCTGCCTGATTTGACAGAAATTAGGAGAAACTGAGCTCTAGATTGGAGCAAAGCTCTGCTAATTCCCCAGGAGGATTTTCCCCTGGCACAACAGCCCGGTGCCCGTCTGTGTCACCCACAGGGCCACCATGGGCCACATCTGCCCCAGAGCAGGGGACATAGCCCTGGTGAGTGCCTCCTTCAGGGGCATTTCCTGGCGGTGGTAAAGCTGGAGACTCTGCAGAGAAGTCGCTGGTGGGATTCACAGTCCTCTGCCAATTTCTGTTTTTCCCTCTCTGAGCACTTCCCTGTTCCCTGCAGTATTTTGGTGAAGAGGAGGTTGGATTGGAGCCAAGCAATGGTGGAGATCAATGCCAAGGTGGCAGCTGCAGGACTCTCTGGAACCAGCTTCTCTTTGTCAGCAATTCCAGCCACAAATCAAAGCCCTGGGCAGGTGTTTCCATAGGCCCTGGGGAAACGACAACAGAGGAACCAAGGAGCTCCCAAGCAATCTGCTGGATGATCCCCAGGCTAGCCCAGAGCTTCCCATCTCAAATGAGCAGAGACAGGGCAAACCCAGTGTTTTCAGTTGAGTTTTTGAGCCTGGGACACAAAGATACCAGAGATGAGTTCTTGCTCGTGCTTCACCTGGAGCAGTTCAGTAATGCTGAGTGACTCCATGGCCAAACACAAATAGGATTTTCTGACACAGATGTACAGCCTGGAGAACAACACAGCTCCAGGTATCAAGTCACACTCCAGGGGTAAATTACCCAGCAGAAAGTAATAGATCACCCATTTAATCAGATCCATCTGCTCATTGAACCTGATCCATCAGCTGCTTACAGGACACTGCAGGGTCTTTGGTGGGACAGAGGCATTGAGAACCAGCTGTA